TATAATATATATTATTATACTATATAATATAGTTATATATTATACTATAAAACTACATTGCTCCTTTACAAAGGATTCTAAACACACTTTAGAAACTAAAGTAACAAGTAAATCCTTTTATGATAGCCTTTATTCTGGGAGATCATTAATAAATTCTGTTCTACATTGTTGTTGTGTATGTGTGCATGTATGTGTGTTTATGTGTATGAGCATTCTGTGGTTCAGTAGATTTTTGGAAATACTTCTTAACTGAATTTTCTTTTTTGGGACTCACAATGTACATAAGCATATTAAAGGCTCTGAGAAGTACTGCTGTGAATAAATAATTTTATTTAACCCAGAATATCTCAAACTGATTTTACCAGGGAACACTTTTCTATATGAAAAGCACTTTAGCATCTTGTAGACATGATTTTGAGAATTGCTGCGAAAAAGGACCCGCAAACAACCAAACAAAAAAACTTGAAAGCAGTAGTCACATGGAAAAAAAACTTGTAAAATAATGTAGTCCAACACTGCATTTTTAAACATAAAAAACCCAAGAGGTTAAAAATATTCTTCTCCTCATAACTGGTAGGTTTCTCAGATTGTCTTCTGATTTCCAGCTTACTGCACCCAACTGCTTCTGCTTCTCTAGCAGGTTCTGTCTTGTGAAATGAGTTCCAGGAAAACTAAGCAGATTTGAGGAATAATATTTAATTTCAAATCCAACATTTGTATTTAATACGTTTCCTTTAGTATTTTATTATATTTCCAAATTATTGACTTTCCTTTCAGCATGGGATTTGTGGCAATTTAAAAACATTTTGTTGAGGCTGGGGTAGTGGCTCAGTAGTAGAGCACTCACTTATTACAGGTGAGGCACTGGGTTTGATCCTCAACACCATATAAAAATAAATAAATAGGGGCTGGGGTTTTAGTTTAGCGGTAGAGTGCTTACCTAGCATATGCAAGGCCCTGGGTTCGATTCTTAGCACCACATAAAAATAAATAAATAAAATAAAGGTATTGTGTCCAACTATAACTAAAAAATAAAACATTAATAAATAAATAAATAAATAAATAAAGGTATTGTGCCCATCTATAACTAAAAAAAAAAATTTAAAACATCTGTCATGAAATATTTTGTATATTCAAAAGGGTATAAATAATAATACAGTGAAAATCAAGAGTCCCTACTACCCAGTTTAAGAAACATACTAGTGGAGTTAAACCCCACTTTCTATCCTTCCATAATTAAAATTCCCTCCCTCCAAAGTAACCACTGTTCTGGATGTAGTGCTTATTACTCCCATGCATTTATTTATATTTTTACTACAGATGTATGTATCTTTAAACAACATATACTATTGTTTTATATGTTTAAATTTTATATCAATAGTATGTTACATATATATATATATATATATATATATATATATATATATTTTTTTTTTTTCCACAACTGGTTTTTTTATTCAGTATTATATTTGTGAAATGCATCCATGTTGTAACATGTGGCTCTAGTTCACTATTTTTTTCACTGATCTATTTATAGACATGCCATAATTTGTCCATTCTGCTATTGATGGATATTGAGGCTATTTCAAGTTTGGGGTGATCACAGTTAGGGCTACTATGATCATTATTGCAAAGATATTCTTAGGTGCTTTTTTTTTGGTACTGGGGATTGAACCCAGGGGTACTCACTGAGCCACATCCCCACCCTTTTAATTTTGAGACAGGGTTACACTAAGTTGCTTAGGGCTTTGCTAAGTTGCTGAGGCTGGCTTTGAACTTGTGATCCTTCTGCTTCAGCCTCCTGAGTTGTAGGTGAACATTTCAGGAAGATATGTGGGATGGAATTGTCCCCTCACAGAGTATGAACCTCAGCACCCTCAGGCGATATTGTATTCTCCAAAATGGTTTACTAAATTATACTCCCACAAGCAGTATATAAAAAATTCTGCTTTATTGCATTGATTGGCTCTTGGAATAAAATTCTCATCCATGGGGATATATCTCTGATTTCTTCAGAGGAAACTACATTTCTCAAAATTGCTTTACCACTAACTTCTCAGGAAGACATTTTCTTGTTTCCATTTGTAAACGAAGGGATTGGCCTAGGTGATATCGAAGGTCCCTTCCAGTTTGACAATCTGAGTTCCTCTGATTTATTCAATAAGTGAGGTACATCTGAAGCACAACCTTGGTTTTTGGCTGTATTGTAGGAAATTACTTGAGGAACACATAACAAAGTTAATGAAATGTGTGTCTCCTCTCTTACTGCTATGCCATCAGGTACAAGGGCAGTGCTACAAGAGGGAAGGCAGTCACGCAGCATCACCTTAGATTGGGGAGAAGAATCTGTGGCCCATGAGAAGGGGAGTCTTCTTCCCATTTCCATGTTATTTCCCACACTTCTCCATCTTAGAAGTCTTTCCCTATTTCTTGATATTTTCTTCCCCCAAAATTATTTTAAAATATATATGATATATATGCATATATCTGATATGTGAAAATCCCTTCATACAACTCGCCAGAAATAATGTCAACAGTTTGGTGTGTATTTATGCAGGCTTTCTTTCTGTACATATGCACATGTAACGTTTAATTTTTTTTTTTTTTTACAAAATTGGACTTCTACTAGACATACTATTCTGACACTTGTTTTATTTTACCTAAATATATATGCTTGACATTTGTTAAATCTTTCTAACAGCTTACATAGTATTCCATCGTGTGAGTGGCTATCATAATAGATTACATTTGAGTCCTCACTGAATGCCAGAAACTATGGATTAACTGCTTGCAACAAGGCTACAAGGCAGGTATTTTTTGTTATTCCTACTTTATAGATGTAAGAAGTAAAGTACAATAAAGTTAGGGAGCATGTCCACATCTGTTCTAGTAAGTGGTAGAGCCAGAAGCAAACCTGAGCATCCAGGCTCCAGGCCCATGTCCTTAAGCAACACACTGTGCCATCTCTTGGACATTGCGCACTTACCAGTTCTCTGTTGATGGACATTTGAGTTGATTGCATATTTTTACTATTACAATCAGTACTATAGTAGACATCTTTGTTCACTTCTGTAAGTCTTTGTGTAATGGAAGTTCCTAGACTTCTCTAGGTTTAAGGAGGAAAGAGCTTATTCTTTAATTCAAAAAATATTTATTAAACTCTATGCACTGGGGAAGCTCTGAGCTCAAGCTAAGAGAGTTGACCAGAACTTTACTTCTCAGATGCCCTAGAAAATTCATTTAAGTGCTTTGTAAAATTTGCCAGCCTGGTGCTGTCCCAGACCTAAGACTTAACTACATCCTATCTGTTCTTAATTGCTTGTATCTTTGCTGGGATAGTGGTATAACTGAATAGGTGCTTGGACTTCCATCTGATGGGCCATAGCCAAAAATCTTCTCCACCTTCTAGGATGTCAGTGACTACAATGCCTCAGATTCTGGGTTCCAGGATTTACACAGGCAGAATAGTATAATGGTGAACTTATAGTCTGGGGCACAACTCTCTGGGTACAAATCCCAGCTCTTCACCACAAATTCACAGTGTGACTCTGCACATGTTACTTACTGTCTCTGTGCCTCTGTTTTCTCATTGCACATCAAATATAACAGTAGTAATTACTTCACAGGGTTGTCATGAAGATTAAATGAGTCAATTTATATAGACTTATTAGTTAATATATGCAAAACATGGAATACAGTAAATTGTAACTGCTATTATTTATTTGGATATAGAAAAGCTGCTAAACCAGTCTTGCCATAAAATTATTGACGAGCTCCATGATATTTTGGAGAGGAATGGGGAAGGAGAGAAGTAGCTGTTATTAAATGGGTAATATGTTCACATCGTTCAAAATTCAAAAAGTACGCAATAATATTCAGTAAAAAAAATCCTATTAATGTATCTACTATTGATGATGAAGCTTTTGTGGTGTAATAATTAAATTTCTCAACCTGGCCAGTGATTGTATGGGGATTTGCTTTATAATAATTCAGTATACTTTACATATATGCTTTATGCAATTTTTATAAGTATATTTCTTTATTAAATAGGGGGAAGATAAAGGGAAATACCAAAGGAATCGAGAGAATTCTCTACAGTAGCTATTCAGTTCCTTTATCTGATGGTAACAGGTTCTTTGGTATACTTCCAATGATATTTTATGCAAATTTAAGCACAGGTTTTCCTTTTCTATACAAATGTAGATTAACCATCTTGTTTTTTTTTCTTGTTTTCTTTTTACTAAAATATATCTTAAGAGGCTTTAAATAAATTGTTCTTAATTCTTTTTAAATAGTTGTATAGACCTTAATTATATGGAGTTATTTTATTTAAATAATCCCATAGTAATGGGCATTTAGTTTGTTTGCAACTTTTTGCTGTTTCAAGACTTGCTAACATTGTGCATACAATTCACATACATGCAAGTAAATATGTATACAACAATGATTATACCTAACACTTACTGAACCATGCACTATTGCCAGACACTGTGCTAAATTATTTAACTACATGGTTAATTTTAATCATTAGAATAATTCTGGTATCACTGTAAAATAATGTTTTATATGTTTAGGTAATGGTACTCTAAAATGACCATGATATAGCAAGTAAAAAAAAAAAAAAAGGACACAAAATGATAGCTAGCATATGATGACTATTTTATTTAAAAAATGCATGTGTATATTTTTTACAGAGAAACTATCATGTCTTCAAACCTGTTATTAATGGTTATCTCTGGATGGTAATATTAGAGATTATTTTTATTTTTATCCTCAGGATTTTTTTGTATTTTCCAGTTTTTCTATAAAAAACATGCATTAAGAGCTGATGGAATGTTGCCTACTATGCACAAAGCCCTGAGTATGATCCCTAGTACCACAAATCAATACAATTTTTAAAGAGGATAAACTTTTAAGGTCTGAGGACATAGCCCAGTGATAGAAGATTTGCCTAGCATGCATGAGACTCTGGGTTCAATCCCCAGCACCACAAAAATCTGTTTTTTTTTTAAATTTTAAGAGCATCATTATCCTTGAAACAAAAATAAAATATTAATATAAAAAGAAGTCTGAAAGGAAAAGAAAATGTTTACATATACACATGGAATATTACTCAGCCATAAAGAAGAATGAAATTATGGCATTCACTGATAAATGGATGGAACTGGAGACTATCATGAAAAGTGAAATAAGCCAATCCTGAAAAAAAAAAGTCTGAATGTTCTCTCTGATATAGGAATGCTGACTCACAATAGGCAGTGGGGGGCAGGAAGGAAGGGAAGATTACCTGATTGGACAGGATGGAGTTGGGGGAAGGGAGAGGAGATGGGAATGGGAAAGATAGTAGAATGAATCGGATATAAATTTCCTATTTTCATATATGAATACGTGACCAGTATAACTACACATCATATATGACCACAAAAATGGGAAGTTATACTCATGTATATATGATATGTCAAAATACATTCTAATGTCATGTATAACTAAAAAGAACAAATAAGAAAATTTAAAAAGAAGTCTTAAAGTAAGCCTTTTATAGCCTTTATGCTCATAACACATTCATAGCAATACATTTTTTTTATCTGAGTGACCAATTTTTTATGTTGGTGTCTGATTATAGAGGAATCATTTTTTTAGCCATTCTTTGGGGAATTTACTTGTGAGTAAGGAGCTTTGTAGCTATTTTCTCTAGGGATTTTGACTGCAAAGTATTCTTCTGGCCACAAACTCTTGTGCCTTCATAATCTGTAATTGTTTCTAATCTTTGGGCTACAGACCCCTGAGGAAGAGGGAAGAGTACTTGATGCAAGTAATCTAGAGATCTTTAAATGTACAAGTGTTTTTCTCACTCTGTAAGTTCTAAAAGTACAGATACTATTGTGGGCATGAGTGGGTGAAGTGAGATTTTTTTTTTTTAATCTTAAGAAGGGGCCCTTACACCTAAAATGTAGGGAACCACTAGAATAGAGTCTAAAAATGGTGACTGTTTAATCATCAGCATTGGGAATTCAAGAGACTCAGTTCTTGCCCTTTAGATCAGGATTTTTATGAATTTTGCCAGGCATTAAGAGAGAGCACCTTTATCATTTATAAGCATCGTCTTTGCCACCCATGCTCATCACATTTGTGTACATTTGTATATATTCACTAAACCATCAATTGGTTTGTACATTTAAAAGTTTTGCTCAAAACTCTCCTTTTCTAAGCTTAGCTCCTGACACCTGAAACTTATAAGCACAGCTATTATGTAACGCTATTCTCACACTTCTTAGCATACCAAATTTTCTTTCTCCTGTCTTCCCTCTCTTGCTGATGGCAGTATTGTCCATCCAGCTCCCAAATTAAGAACTCCTTCACGTCCCTTACCTTTCACATCCATTTGATCACTGAGCCAAATACATTTTATCTCTCTTATGTATTGCAAAGCTGTGCTGCCTGCTTTATCCTCACAGCCTGCCTGTTATACCAGCTATTCAATGGGTTCTTCCCTTGGGAGAATCACTCCACAAGGCAGGCAGAAGACTCTTTATAAAATGAAATTCTGGTTATGTCACTCTACTGCTCAAAGTGCCTCCCTGTTGTCTTCAAGATAAAGGCTAGAATCCTCTGTTTGTAATTTAAGGCATGGCCCAATCTGGCCAGAGCCTCCTTTTCCAGCCTTATCTCCTGCTACACCACACAAAGCACCTACCTTGTCCTCTGATCACATTGAACACACCACATTTTATTTTTGTGTTGTTTGGAATGTTATTTTTTGTTTTATCTTTTTTTCTCTTTTTCAACTGGGGATTGAACTCAGGGTCACTCGACCACTGAGCCACATCCCCAGCCCTATTTTGTATTTTACTTGGAGACAGGGTCTCACTGAGTTGCTTAGGGCCTTGCTAGTTGTTGATGCTGGCTTTGAACTCATGACCATCCTTCCTCAGCCTCCTGAGCTGCTGGGATTACAAGCATGTGCCACCATGCCTGGTTGGCTTGTTTTATCTTCTTTGACTATTGGAAGTTCCATTTCGTTTTCATGACTCACCTCAAGCATATTCATTGTTCTTGAATGCACTTGAACTTACTGGATAAAAGTCATCTTTCCCTCATCTGTCTATTTACTCAATCCCATAAATACTTCTATTAAAATGAAAATAACACTTCATGTTCTCTATTTTCCCTGTATGTGTTCTCTCTGTATGTGAACTCCTCAGGATCAGGCTCCATGACTTTTTCTTCTCTGTTCCTCCTAAACTCTAGCTAGACTGAACTCACTGTTCTCTGAATATACTGTGTCTTCTTTTTTAAAAAATATTTTTAGTTGTAGATGGACACAATACCTTTATTTTATTTATTTATTTTTATATGGTGCTGAGGACAGAACTCAGTACCTCACATGTGCTAGTCAAGCACTCTACCACTGAGCCACAACCCAAGCCCATGCTATGCCTTTTTGTGACATCAGCATTTGCAAAAGTGGGTTGATCTGCTAGGAATGCCCTTCTCCATTTCTCTCCTCTCTGCATAGGCAAACATCTACTCTTCTTTCAAGACTTATCTCAAATAGAGTGTCTTTGAATCTGCACATTCTCAAATCGAGTTATCTGTTCCCCACTCTCTGCTCCCCTAGCCTTCCAGTCCAATCTTGATTGTAACATTTGCCTATGTGAGCATTCTGTTATAATTATTAGTTTACCTGACTGCCTATCCTGCCTACCTCAGGCATCAATTCATCTTTGTATCATTGGCATCAAGCTAGCATGTAAATAATAAATAATGACTTAATCAATAATTAAAGTATTTTATGGCATATGGTGGCCAAGGAAGAATTAATGGATCATCAGTAAGCTTTGAATACTTATTTACATAACTGATCAAGGCACTTGTGGGTAGGTGCTAAATTCACAGACTTTTTCTAGTCTTGACTCTAAATTTGTCCTTGTTATTCTTCCAGGTGCTTAATGCTCAAAAGTCAGTCTACTGCCCATCCTCACCCCCCATGAGCCTTGGTTCTGATGCAACCTATGGTCATGCAGGGATGCCCTTACACCCTCCCACGATGTCATGAATGGCGGGCTGCTGACAGATTCCATCAGAGCAGCAGTCTCCGAAGCACCCAGCCTCAGGTAAGAGTCCAAAAGTAAAAGAAAGACCTGTGGAGAAAGAGTGGACATGGAATCTATGTGAGTCCTTGGGGTACCCATGTTTCCTAAGGCTTAGGGGTGTTCTCTGTATGCATGAAACCCTTTGGATAGCATGGGGTCTCTTTGAGGCCCATCCATTATCACTGATAAGGCCTTTTATTGGGGGCATGGTGCAAGGAAGGTGTTGGGCTGGTCAAGCCAAAAGGCCCACTGTGAGTTACAGATCTGGGGAGGCTCAAGAATAGCATGGACTTTCAAAGCATTGCCTAGGACGAATCAAGGCCTTCCCTTGCTTTGTGATATACCTCACATTCTGCAGGTATCTTTCTCATGCCATTGGCTCTTCCTCTCAAGTCCCCAGTATTCCCTGTAGTTCCTGGCTCAGCCAAGATTAGAACTCCTGATTTCATACCTGTCTCTCCTCTCTCTCTTCTCCCTTCTTAACACAGTGATGGCAGTGTATATATCTGTATGTGTATGCTGGTAGGAGGGTAGACGATGTGTGAAAGACAGTAATCTAGAGACGGCATCTATATTTCCTGATGATGAGGGAGGTCCAAGGAAAGTTGAAGGGAGATGCATAAGTATACTTTGGGTTGCTTTGAGATCCAGGGGCCACAGGGATGTGAGCAAGCACTATGTCTCCTAGAGTCTCACAATTGGACTGCAGTGCTGTGTCACTGCTAGGGTACCAAGGGCAGCTAAATGTACAGGGAGAAGAAAGGAGGGAGAAAGTAGGATGAAGAATGTGGGTTCTGGGGAGCCTATATTTAGAGGATGAGGGAAGGTCCAGGTCCAGGAGACATGAAGGTCAGGTCTTTCTGAATTGTTTCCCACATCTAGCCAGAGAGAAATTTCTAGCTCTAGCATATTATCAAACCCAAGGTCATTTTATGAGTCTGCCAGTTACCTACCCCTTTCCTGGAGTGGGGCTTTCATGGGGTTGCAAAATTGAGATGCCTGGGCCCTTCTAAAAGGCTGATTTGCTCAATGTTCACCCATTCCAGGCTTCACCACCTAGGCAGAGGGGCCTGAGAACTTTATTGTGTGAGTGTGAATGGTATATCCCAACTACTCTTTTCTGCCATGGTTTAGTTTCTCTTCCCACACAGCCTTTGTCTCAAAGTTTCAAGGGATGTGTAGAAAGCCCTTTGGGGAGTGGGGTGTGAAAAGCGGACATCTTGGCCACAAAAGCCAGAAGTAGAAGGCAATTGATAAGGAAATAGAAAACAGTTACTTTTCATGATTTGCCTATTTTGTGCCTGGCTCTGTTAGGTGGGACTTGAGAGTATAAAGAGAACTGGCGGAGAGGGGAGAACAGGGTGCTGGAGAATAGTGTGGGAGCTGCGTGGGGGTTAGAAAATCAAGACGGGTGGAGGGAATTAAAAGCTAACATGGATGGAACCCAGATTATCGTGGGTGCTTCCTCCAGGACAGCCAGGACAACTTGGTTATGGCTAGGTCACAAAGGACTATTTCTAACTCTGGGGTATATTCACTCCAGAGGACTCTGTGAGACTGGCTTGAGCCCAGTTATGCCAGAACAAGAGAAGCTGCATCTAAGAGCTAGAGCCACTCCCCACTCTTGGCCTGTCATCCCCTAGCCACCACAGTTGGCTCCACCCAAAACCCCTAGAAAGGGTCAGACAGCTGTTCCAACTATTCCTGTAGGTGGACCTCAGCATGGAAACAATGTGAAACTGTGGAAAGCCTAGAAGACTCTGTGGGAGATAAATGAGGATGAGAACAGAACTCTTTTTGGTAAAAATGAAGTGTTTTCCCTAAGTGCTGAGGGGTAGGAACCCAGCTCAGGAATGTTAACCTTTTCCCAGGCAAGTCTGCTAGATATGGAAAAGAGCAGCCACTTCCAGGAGGGGCTCTACTCCTTGGTCAGTGACTTATGGGAAAGGGCTTCCCTGGGCTCCACCAAGGGTAACATGGGCTTTACAGGAACCTCTTTGACACTGGCACCCTGCATGGAGCTGCTAGATTCTGTTGCCCCTCCCTTTTCTGAACAGGTCCAAAGGGAAGCCCAGAGACCATCCATGTTCCTCTGTCTTCAGAGTACAATGAGAAATTTCAATGTTATGACTCTTCCTTCAATCCTCTGTCTCTCTCAAAGTCAGGGCAGAGCACTCCCATATTTTCACCGTGGGCTTCAATGAATCTTTTGGCCCCTGCACTCATTCAATGAGAATTAAATTAAAAGGCATTTGGCTGCCCCTGCTTCCTGTTGCTGCCATCCCATGGATCTGTCCACAGGTGTGCCTCATATATTCCTTACTGCCTCTGAGGAAGCTTAGTTAGTTACTGAGTTGAGGAGAAGGCTTTTCTCTCTCCCAAAGTTATCCTCCTGCCAGGCCTTGGGGAAATTACTTACCAGAGGTTTGTCACCAAAGAGGTCTGATCCTTTCTTCCACCTCAGAGGATAGGATGAACCTGGAGGTGGAGTGAGCCCTTTGTGTCTTCCATGGAAAGGGAAAATAAATCAACAGAAGCTACTCTCTGTATGCCCCTCCTAAACACCATGGAATGCCCAGTCCCACTCCTGCCATCCTTGCCAGCCTGGGAGGGCCATCCTGGCCCCGGTGTGGCGGGCCCAGTTGGGAGCGAGCCGGAATTCTGCAGGAACAAAGCTCTGATTCAACAGCCAGGCCCTGACATAGCCGCCCCCTCCAGATTCCTGGGGGGTCAATAAACAAACAGGGTGACAGCCCCCGCCTCCTGGCCTGGCTCAGTTCTTCCTGCCTCCCTGAGTAGGCTTGCTCCGAGCTCATCAGGACTCTGCCTGCCTGTGGCTCACTAGACACTGAATCTGGATTCCTGCTGAGGAATAATCATGGAGCTGCCTGATCTGGCCATGAACTCCCCAGGCAGCACAGGTAGGGTCAGCTCAGGAACCACAGGGTGGCTGAGTTCTGAGCATGGTCCCCAGAGCTTGGCAGCTCCCTCACGTAGCTTTCATAGTGTGGTTGTGAGCTGTGGTTTTAATGAGATGATTGATTTCCTAGATTGCCTGGAGAGTCTTGTGTGAGGACAAACTATGGTTTAAAGGGAAGGGAGATTACAGGAGTCTCAGCCACTAGCAGAGCCAGTTTCTTTCCACAGGAAGGCAGCAAAATAGATAGGCAGGCCTGTGGGTCTCTAGCTGGGGCAGAGCAGCTCAAGTTGAGATTTCCTATTCTAATTCCCTTTCCCTTGCCCTATCCTGATCCCTGGCTGGGCAGGCTTGGGACTGTGCTATGGGTAGCTACTTTCTTAAAGGCTATATAGCATAACTACCCTTCCCCCAATCCCCACAATAAACTGATAGCTACTAGTACATGGAAGAGCAAGTAATGGACTACGAGCCAAAGTTCCCAAGGCTAGAGCTTGGTAAGTTCCATGGCTTGTCCTCTTGGCTGCTGACTTTGGGTCAAAGTCCTTTGGAGATCAGGATTCAGATTGCTGCTTAAGTCCTCGCTTAGTTCATGCTCATCTTCATAACCAGTGCTCTTTAGGATGATTTCCAACCTTCCTGACTGGTGGGATGTACAGGTGGGAAAGTGAAGAGACCACATAAAGGCCTAGGTCCATTTGGGAAGTAGAATATATACTACTGACAGCTCTGGTTGTTCTGCTCCCTCTCTGAATCTTTTTTTTTTTTTTTTTGTGGTGCTAGGGATTGAACCCAAGGCCTTGTGCATGCAAGGCAAGCACTCTACCAACTGAGCTATATCCCCAGTGCCCCCTCTCTGAATCTTTATGAGCCAGCCTCTCAGCTTTATTTTCTAGAAGATTAGTTAAACTGTGGGACCCTGAAATATGAGCCTATGGCTCAATTTGACTGCTATGGTTGTCAGCATTTGGGCAATTCTAACCAGCTTCTTACTTAATGCAAAAGTTCTTTCAGAATCCCATCTGGACAGTGGTCCTGGCACAACTTACAATAAGAGTAGTAATAATAGTAGTCAGCATTTCTATGGACTGACCTGTAACAAGAGAAAGCCTTGCAATGAATAGGGGTCACAGATTCTTTTTGTATCTCACCCTCTGAACACACCCATAGAAAATAGGATTTCTGAACCCTGGGACCAGCTCTTCTCTCTTGTTGTTTACTCTTGTTCCACCCTTGGCTAGACATAGATGAAGGCATGGCACACTCCAGGGATCAAAGGATGTCTGTGTTTCTGTCCAGGTTAGAGCTGCTGTCACTTCCCCTGCACCTTCTCAGGATGGTGCCAGGGTTCCCTGCCTAAGTCCAAAGCTGTTGAATGGGTCTGTTGGTGCCGTTGACCCCCTGGAACCATCAGCCATGAATCTGTGTTGGAATGAAATAAAAAAGAAGTCTCACAACCTCCGGTAAGGCCTGGCCCCTAGAAACAGGTACCCATAAAGAATTGGCTGTGACAGCATTGGGCTTCTTTAGCTGCTGTACTTTGTCATTCTCCTCTCAAGCCTGTGTCCCCTCCTTTTCTCAGCTTTACTATCCACTTTTTTAATGCCCTCTATTCCTACCCATTAGTTTTTAGCCCAGATAAGAGAAACTCAGCAAGAGCCTGAAGATAACTTCTCCCCCTCTTTCTCTGGCACTGGGGAAAGAACCCTGAGTTAGAATTTAGGACATTTAAATTTGAGCCTCAATTTTAAGTAGTTGTGTCACCTTGGATAAATTGTTTGAGTTCTCAGAATGTTAGCTTCTACTTGTTTTGCTTTGTTTTAAGGGGGAAAAATCAGTGAAGGAATAATACCTATCCTTACTACCTCAGTGTTGTCATGAGAATTCAAATAGAAAGTGAAATGTTTTCTAAACTTAAACATGCTGATGGGTAAATGAAGAAAATGATTCCCCCTTCCTCCACTTCCTCTCATAGCTGTCCTCTATCCTGTGGGTCTCATGTTTATTTCCCATTTTTTAATGCCCTCTATTCCTACCCATTAGTTTTCAGCCCAGCTAAGGGAAACCCAGTAAGAGCCTGAAGACAATTTTTATATGTTATTCTCTTCCCCCTACCTCTCTATGTGTGCCTGACATTTTTCCTCTCCACCCCATCATCAAAGCCCAAACTCCTGGCTTCTGGTGGGCTCTGGTAAGGTTGAGGCAATGTGGAGAAGTTGAAAGAATGCCAGCCCTGAAGTCAGATAACCCAGGTTCAAATCATAGCACTACCAGTGACTCTTAACTGTGTGACTTTGGGCAAACTGCTTAACCTCCCTGGGCAATAGTGATGCCTATCCCATAAGGTTGTTGTGAGAATTAGTTGAATCAATGATTTAGGTAAAGGGCTTAGCCCAGGTTAGGGAAGCAATGCATGAAGATAGTTGTTATTGCCAGCTAGGGGAAATGGGCTCAGTGGCTGCACTCAACCATGACTAGCCTCTAACTTCCTACCACTGGGACCTCAGCTCATGTTTCATTTGCCGGGTAAGGGGAGGTAGAGATGATCATATGGTACACATTATTCTTCCATATCTTAGACCTTAAGCCAATACTCCTTGTCATCCTTTGGGTCCCTCAGGCTGATTATATTTGTATGCATCCTTGCACATATGTGTGGCCCTGATCAATAATCTACCTTGCCCTTTCCATTTACCACATCCTCTTGTGCTTAGCAGGCAGGCTTAGAACAGCCTCTATGGATGAACAGTTTTATGTGATTTAGATTTTTTTCCAGGGGGAGAAGGGAACAGCTGTCATCCCTAATGCCCCTGCTCAGTTTTCTTCCCTTCCTAGCCTGATGATGAGCATTCAACTGAAGTAACTGACATTCAAAAAAATGACATTTAAGCTATTTGAATTTGGGTTATCTGACCACCTGTGGTGTGACCCATTGGTTTTGGTATTGTGATCCATTTGGAGGGGCCTCAGGAGCTTCTGTGGATGGGTAGGAAGGAGGGATTTGGGCGTCCTTTCACTCCAGCTAGAGCAGCTACTCTTAAATATGTTTTATATATTAAAGTTCCACATAGGTGTTTGTTTGAGAAAAATATGTTTTGTTACTTAAAAAGAAGATTGAACAACACTGGTCTTACCCATTGTGTGCAGTGCTCGCCTAGAGGCCTTCACAGACCACAGTGGAAAGCTTCAGCTCCCTCTACAAGAAATTATTGACTGGCTCAGCCAAAAGGATGAGGAGTTATCAGCTCAGCTGCCCCTACAAGGGGATGTGGCCCTGGTGCAACAGGAGAAGGAAACACATGCGGTAGGTTAGAATCCTGGAGGCCATATTGTATAGCCTCTCATCATGGGAGGAGTCCCTTCCATAATACACTGATAGACAGGCACCCAGCTCTGCTTAGACACCCAAATCAACAGGAAGCTGTATGCAGACCTACTAGTCTGTGCATAGTATTTCACAGACTAAGTTTTTCTGTCCTATTTAGAATCCTGCCTTGATTTTTAACAGGGACATGGAGAAATGAATATAATATGATATCAGGTGAAAATGCATAGGATACAAAACCACATTCAGATGAATCTCAATTGTATGAAAATGTATATAGATATGTATGCATATATATGTATATATATCTTGACATTGGAAGGAACTATATAAAATGTTATCGATGGTTAACTCTAGGTTATGAAATTGGAATTCATTTTAATTTTATTGATTATAATTTTCTAAAATTTTAAATATTTTTGTGACATATATTGCCTCTATAATCAGAAAATAACAGTATCTCTTAAAAATGAAATAGAGTGGAATATAATACAACAGGAAAATAAGCTATAACTGCATGGTATAACATAGATGAAATTTACAAACAGTATCTTGAGTGAAAAGCAACCAAATATAAAAATAAAACATATTGTATTATTCCACTTATATTTGAAAGTAAGCAAAAAACTAATTGGTGATTAATCAGGATCATGGTTACATTTTAGGGGAAAGGATGATATAGTGACTGGAAGGGGCCACCAGGGTGTCCTTTGGGATGCTGGTGGAGTTCTGTTTCCTGATCTCAGTACTAGCTGCACAGATGGAATCACTCTATGGAAATTTATCAATCTATGCACTTCTGATATATGTACTCTGTGTTTCACAAAAATTACAAAAATGAATATAATTTCTCCCATCCTGTTTTTATTCCTGTTAGTCTCTCTCTTAAAAGGGACTTTCTCAGTCTTCCAGTAAAACAAGATCCCCACATTTCTTTTTATCCTGTGACACAGCCAGACTCATCTCATACTAAATAGACCTTCATGCGTTAGAATTATTCTTCTGCCTATAGGGAGGACCATACCTCTTTTGGTCTAGTAACTCAAAGACATTTGGTAATGCCAAGAAATCAAGTTGTACTGATAAGAAGAAAGATTATTAATTGTAGAATGTAATTTAAAGTGATTGAAAGACTTTCCTTTCCTGTTGACCACATTGCTAAACTTCACAGGCCTTTATGGAAGAAGTCAAATCTCGGGGCCCCTATATTTACTCTGTGCTGGAGTCAGCTCAGGCCTTCCTGTCCCAGCACCCATTTGAAGAATTAGAGGAGCCTCATTCTGAGAGCAAAGGTGAGTGGTCTTCTGTTCTGTCCCCTTCTTTTTGAACTATATACCACTAAACAAACACCTTCCTGCTTTCCCCAAACTCATTTTCTCATATAAGGGAGGCTAGTTTTCTCTCATGAGTTCAAAGTTGAAAAGAAGCAGGATTCATATTGTAAGAAAAAGCTGAAAGAGAAGAGGACCTGGAACAGGGATCACCAGCATATGGCCCAAAGCTGTATGTGGCTCTCTGGAATATCACATGAAGCCTTTTAATGAGACATGAAAATATTTTAAAACATTCAAATCAATCAAACTAACAGCGAGTAAAAGTAGCAGTAGGTCCTTTCAAAACATACTGTTTTCTAGCAACTCTGGAGGCTGAGGCAGGAGCATTGCAAATTCAAGGCTACCCTTGGCAACTTAGCAAGACCTTATCTAAAAATTAAAAAGTAAAAAGGGCTGGGGTATAGCTCAGTGGTGGTAAAGTGCCAGTGGGTGCAATCCCCAGCATAAAAGCAAGTCAACAAACATACTACTTTATTCCAACATTAGAGGGACATGTAGCAATACTCTAATCAACCAGCAGCTAAAAACCTTTTTAAAATCTTAAAAATTAGGCAATGACCTTTGAGAGAAAAATTGAGTATAGCTCTTTGAGAACAACCTTGATGACTTCCAGCCCCTCCCTTGATGGAGAGGGATACTCTCAGTGGTTTACAAGGAAGCAGGTTAGGATCCATGTTGACTAGGTCTAATCACCAAGGGATGATAGCCCAGCAAGCCCTCTTCTCCAAAAAGAATCCTCAGCCCTCTGAGATAGGCTGTAAATATCTTGGAGAGGAGCCTTCACTAATTGAGCCCTTTGTCAGTTCCATTCCCTTTCTGTTTATTTCTAGCCTCACAGTAGGAGGGCTAGTACTTAATTTGTTGCCCAATGGGTCACAGATAAGACATGAGCAAAAGAAAGCAAGACAATTGGAATTCGCCTGGGGTTTTAGGGCTCTGAATCTTCTTCCAAGGGGAAGTCTAAAGGAGGAAGAAGAGATCTACAAACTATGAGCCTATGAAGAAAACCTGGGCACTTTACACCAACATTATCCGTGCTGGAATTTTATAAAATGCCTTCCTCCTTTAGATATAAGTGGATAGCAGTCACTAATGCAAAACCATCCCAGGGTCAGATGGATAGGACTGAAATATTTTACTACTTACCTTGCCCATTTAAAAAAATATTTTTTTAGTTGTAGATGGACACAATATCTATCTTCCTTCCTTCCTTCCTTCCTTCCTTCCTTCCTTCCTTCTGCTAAGGATCAAACCCAGTGCCTTACATATGCAAGGCAAGCGCTAAACCACTGAGTTACAACCCCAGCCCCACCTTGCCCATTTTTTAAAATATGAAGAAAACTTGATGATATAGTAAGAAGGAGAAACCAAAGTGGTAGTAGATACATGAACCAACATGTGGTAAAATTGTATAGAACTAAAGTGGGAACTCTGAACAAAATTGATAGATTGTGTCAATGTCAAAATTCTGGTTGTAATATTGTACTATAGTTATATAAGATGTTACCATTTGGGCAAAGGGGGCATGAGATCTTTGTACTATTTCTTATAACTACCTGAGAATGTATAATAATCTCAAAATAAAGTTTAATTTCAAAAAGAAACTTGAATGTGCAAAAGTAACTCAACCATGTAAAATATGTATTTGTGTGAGTATGAATATATATGCAAACATGTACACAAGCATGCACCTGTACACACACATTATACAAAAGGATGTCTGTCTTTTCTTGGGCTGCTCTGGCCTATTTAGCCTGATCTGGCTTCCTGTCTACACTTGCAGATACCTCCCCCAGACAACGGATCCAGAATCTTAGCCGCTTTGTATGGAAGCAAGCGACAGTAGCCAGTGAACTATGGGAAAAACTGACAGCCCGCTGTGTGGACCAACACCGTCATATTGAGCGCACTCTAGAGCAGCTGTTGGAGATCCAAGGGGCAATGGAGGAATTAAGCACTACTCTGACACAAGCTGAGGGAGTCCGAGGCACTTGGGAACCTATTGGGGATCTCTTCATTGATTCACTTCCAGAGCACATCCAGGCTATTAAGGTATGCAGGACCTCTCCCCTGATTATAGTCACATCTGAGACCTGATGCTTTTCTGATTCCCGATAATATTCCTCCTGCTGAGACTCCATCATTGTCTTGGAACACAAATGAACCTCTTCTGGTTTATGTGCTAGATTTGGGACTGGCTTGGCTATAGTTCCCTCTATATTTCTACTATTTTTCTCTGATTTTCTATGATGAATAGAAGATGAGTATGAGAACAGTGGCCACACACACTTATTCTTGTTGCCCTAATAGGAAAGCACCTAAGTTGTGTTTTTGAAAGAAAACCTGGGTAAAGAGGAAAGAGTTGAGGTCAATGATTAATGAGTTCTCTTTCCCACTCTCTGCTGTGTTACTTTGGTCCTGGTTCTCCAGCTATTCAAAGAAGAATTTTCCCCCATGAAAGATGGAGTGAAGTTGGTGAATGATCTGGCACACCAACTTGCCATTTCTGATGTGCACTTGTCAATGGACAATTCCCGGGCCCTGGAACAGATCAACATCCGGTGGAAACAGCTACAGGTAGAAAAACAGCCTGGAATGAGCTGTGCAGAAGCACCTCAGTGTAATTAGGCTTGGGGAAAACTTCTTCAGGCACAAAGGAAATGAAAGTGTATTGAAATGAAACCTACATGGAAAAAGAGTACTAGAAAATGTGTGATCTGGGAATAGGCTTCTTACCTCTGAGCTACAGGGAACGATTGAACTGAAGAAATGACAGGGACCTGTTTAGATTTGAGCACTCAGGGTAGACAGGGACAAGAATGACTGTGACCTGGAGTTAGGGTGGCTCTTCTCTGCTTTGGAGAATGCGGGAAGGCTAGGAGTTGGGTGATGATTGGAGGGGCTGGAACCAGAGAAAAGCCAGTCTATAAAGGAGTTCATGAAGATTTTTGTTGGGCCAGGCACAGTGGCGCATGCCTGTAATCCCAGTGGCTCTGGAGGCTGAGGCAGGAGGATCGTGAATTCAAAGCCAGCCTCAGTAAAAGTGAAGTGCTAAGCAACTCAGTGAGACCCTGTCTCTAAATAAAAGACAAAATAGGGCTAAGGATGTGGCACAGTGGTTGTGTGCCCCTGAGTTCAATCCCCGGTACCAAAAAAAGAAAAAGATATCTGTTGGAACCTGGGGATCCCAAACTAAATAACTAGGATAGATCTATTGCTTTTCTACCTGTTCTTTCCATAGGTGTCAGTTGGTGAGAGGCTTAAGCAGCTCCAGGATGCCCATCGGGACTTTGGACCTGGGTCACAGCACTTCCTCTCTTGTATGTGAGCCAAACTGAACTTCACTTAGCAGAACCTCAACCACCTTCCAAGAGAACCTACATTTTTCTCTGGGGGCCTCGTGAAGCCTAGGATAACTTGGCATCCATGAAGCAATAGGGATAAAGCAGATTGATAGTTAAAAGAACAGGTTCTCCAACCAGAGAGACCTGGGTCGGAGTCACTGTTCCTCAATTTAGTAGCTGTATAAGTTTGAAAAATCTTTCTGAACCTCAAATTTCCTATCTGTAAAAAGAGGAAATTATAATCTAGCTTATCAGGCTATGGGAATTAAATGATTTTATTTGTTAAACAATGTTATTGTGGACCAGATACTTTTTTAGATACTGGAGGACAGTTTACATTCTAGTGAAGAAAGGCATATTAGAAACCAATAAGTAAAATATGTATAAGGTCAATTCATAACAAGTGCTATGGAAAAAAAAAATAAAGCTAGGAAGGCATGGTTAGGGAGTACTTAAGGGAAAAGATATTACAGAAGCCTCACTGAGAGGGTAACAATCGAACAGATGCCTAAAGGAACCAAAAGAATGAACCATGGGGTAGCTGAGGAAAGATACTAGGCAGCAATTTGATATTCTTAAAGCAGAGGTGTACAGAGGAACAGCAAGGAGGCCCATGTGGAATAGAGCAAAAGGAGGAAGAGTGGGGAGGCCAGAGCACAGAGGGCCTTGTAGGTAAAAATAAGAATTTAGGATTATTCCAAATAGAATGGAGGTATACTGGCAGGGTTTGAGATGAGTGATGATGTGATCGGACTTATGTTTGAATATAGTGTTAAGATTAGATTGTTGGGAGGCAAGAATGGGATCAAGGAAAACTGTGAGGAAGCACATTGCAGTAATCTAGCCCAGACCAGGTGGGTAGCAGTGGATATACAGAAAGGAAAATTAGATATGCATACAAAGTATGAGCACTTCTAACCTGGCACATAGTAGGAGAACCATAATCATTAACCATGGTCAGATTTGTTACTGTTATAATCAGTGACATGCATCTACACCCACAGAGGATTCTTGTACTCAGGGAAACTATCGTGAATAGGTCAGTCAGACTTGCTGAGTCTCTCCTGGGAGATCTGGTAGATAAAGACACAGGGATGATAGAGACATGAGTTTCCAGAGTTCCTCATAAGAGGTGGGTAGGGTAGAGGAAAGAAGGAGAGAAATGGGCAGTACTGTTTCCCTCTGTCCCACAGGATAAGAAACTTGGCCTTCTTGTGGAAGGGCTTTAAATCCCATGAGGAAAGTAGAATCCACTTCATATCCACAGGATCAGTCCAGCTGCCTGCAGCTAAATGGGTAAAAAAGGCAGTCTGTTCAGGGAGAAGAATGTCAGGGTAGGCAACATCAAGTATTCCTGTTTGTATCCTAGCCACATTTCTGATGTATTAGGGCATCAGTGACAACTTTTTCCCCTTTCCCAACATCAGGGAGAACAGTGTATTCTTTAGAAGTATTTGTCCACCCTCATGGGTTATTAAGAACTGGCAGTGAAATTGAGACATCTCCTTTGGGACCTGACTGCCTTTTGGGGGAGGATAGAGCAGGGGAATGGCCAGGAGACTGGGAGGCCTGAAGACCATTAGCGGCCAGTGGCCAGCTTTCTTTCTCTTTTCCTTTACCAGCCTCTGTCCAGGTTCCCTGGGAAAGAGCAATTTCACCCAATAAAGTTCCCTACTACATCAAGTGAGTGATCATCAGAATCAGAACTGGTCGGTCAACTGCCCACCCACTTCCTTGGTTGTCCTACCTATCCCCGCCATTCCTTGTCTGTGGGGATTCCTCCATCTACTCCAGTTTTTCCTCCTACTCATCTCAAGAGCTCAAGATTCTACCTGGGTAAAGGTGAACCCTTGTGCTTTGGGACCTTCAGGGTTCTATTGCAGCTTTTTACATCCAACCTATCACTGAGTGTATCGCTGTGTGTGTTGTGTATGTGGGGGTGGTGGTGGACGATGGCACTGTTGATGCTTTTGTTTGTAGCCACCAGGCTCAGACCACATGCTGGGACCATCCCAAGATGACTGAGTTATACCAAACATTAGGTAAGAATGTGGGGTACTTGTATAGGGTGGGGATCTATACAGCTCCCTTTGTCCTGCAATGTACATCAATGGATGAATGGATGGAGAAAATATTATATCTACACACAATGGAATACTGTTGAGCCTTAGAAAGAAATCCTGCCATTTGTGAAATAAGCTAGGCACAGAAAGACAAATATCACATGATTTCACTTATGTAAGGAATCTAAACTCATAGAATGAGAGAGTAGAATGATAGGTTTCAGGTCCTGGTGGAGGAAGAAATGAGATATTGGTCAAAGGCTGCAAAGTTTTAATTATATAAGATGAATAAGACCTAGAGCTCTACAGCATAGTACCTATAATTAATAATACTGTTTTCATACTTAAAATTTTTGCTAAGAGGGTAGATATTATGTTCTTATCCCACACATACTACTATTACTACTATGACAACAACAATGACCACTACTACTACTAATAATAAGTAAGGGGGCAGGAGGAAACTTTTGGAGGTGATAGATGGGTTTGTGACAGATGGTGGTGATGATTTCACAGTTTATACTTATCTCCAAACTCATGATGTTTCATATTCACTAAATATATATGTTTTTTGTATATCAATCATACTTCAATAAAGTGTTTTTTAAAAAGAATAGAAGGGAACCTCAGTCAATAAGCAGGTGGAACAGAAGTGAGTGCTTTGTTCTTTCTCCAAAAGCATTCCTTTCTTTCCCCTCTGCACCTTCCTCAACTGGAGGCTGTACATTTCTGACCAACTATTCTATCATTACATTAGGGAATTATGACCGTAGATGTGAGATCTAATCTGCTTTGAAAGACACTGACCAAGCTGCAATGAGTGTGACTTTTGTGTGCCATATCTTTGACTAGGAAGAGAGACTCATCATTATGTTGCAAATCTTATCCATGTTGATGAGGTGAATACAGTTCATTCATTTTCACTCTCTCGTGTGTTCCATTGTATATAGTAGTTTCTTTATCCATTCTACTGTTGATGAACATGTGGGTTTCTAGTTTGGAGCTAAGAAGAACAATGCTGCTGAGGATTTCTTATACATGTCTTCTCGTACTTGTGTGCAAGTGTTTCTCTAAGGCATGATTTTCAGTCTATAGATTATAACACCATTTTGGTGTGTTGTAACGAGCATTTAAAACTGAAATAGACTAAGAAGTGTCAATATGTAACAAATCCTTAGTAAGTGTTGTATTTGATAGTAATTTTGTTTTTACATTATTAAAAAGCAGATTAGACCTCACATCTACGGTCATAATTCCCTAATGTAATGATAGAATAGTTGGTCAGAAATGTACAGCCTCCAGTTGAGGAAGGTGCAGAGGGGAAAGAAAGGAATGCTTTTGGAGAAAGAACAAAGCACTCACTTCTGTTCCACCTGCTTATTGACTGAGGTTCCCTTCTATTCTTTTTAAAAAACACTTTATTGAAGTATGATTGATATACAAAAAACATATATATTTAATGAATATGTTAGGTATTGTTTTCTGACATGTTTAAGTTATTTAAACATGCACAAAAGAGTGTTTGCATATTAGGTCATGATGTAAAATGAATTTCTTACTATGAATCTTGGTCAAAAAATGTTTATAAATTACTGCTGTGGGATATATACCTGGTTATGTGGTAGGATACATGAGCATTCCATTTTTCTGGGAAATGCCTGAGTTGTTTTTCAAGGTGATTATATAAATTCACACTTACACTAGCAGTTTTCATTCATACATATTTTTGTTGACACTTGCTGTTGTCAGACTTCTATTTTTTTCCCCAACCTGGTGGGAATAACATGGTATCTTGTTGGGGTTTTAATTTGCATTCTCCTGATCTGAGTGAGTCTCTTTCCATTCTTTGCAGCTGATCTGAACAACATTAAGTTCTCAGCTTATCGCACTGCCATGAAGCTCCGCAGAGTCCAGAAGGCCTTGCGCCGTATGTCTCCTGTCACATTTCCCTAAAGCTTTGACCTTCATTGTCCTGTTCCTCATCTGTCTGCTGTTTCCTACTTTCATCCTATCTTGGCCAGAATTGTTGTTGATTAGTTTGGTGGGAACTCTCCAAAGGCTTGCATATTTTGTCTGTAGACACATGCTCTTTCTAGTGTTCTTCTACTCATTCCAAGCCCTAGACTTGTTTTCAAATTAACCCTATAGCTATCCAATTCTTTGTCCCTTTCTCCCTGCCCAACAAGGATAATCAAGCAATTAGTTCCTGTCCAGAAGTATCCAGATCATGGCTTGCTATCTTGGGGTTATTGGATATAGCAATAACTGTTCTTTCAAGTTTCCTGGCCTAGGCACATCTGGGTAGGCTCATTCAGCCTTGGAAGTCATTAAAATGTACTCCTGATATGTGTCATATTTACCCAGCCATACCCAAGCCTTCACCAATATTATCTAGGTTTTCAGAACAAGGTTCATGTATAGACCTACTTACAGTTGAAACCTATGTAAAGACAGAGAAACTTAAAACAAAATATGATCTCTTAGGCACCAATACAACATAGGAGATGAATTTATTCATGCCTCATCATCTTCTTGAAACTGGTGTCAAAGAAAATATGAGTATATAAATATGTTTGATTAATTTAGGGGATCTTTTGCTGCTCCTCCTTCTTGGGATAAGGGTATTTAGTAAAGGAGAAGCTTATATTATCCTTGCACATGATATAAGCACATAGTCTGGAGATTGAGTCAAATGTGGGGATGCCGGTGACTTTATCTCCTAGTTCAATACTTGGTGTCCTACTTTTGGCTATATATTTTCCCTTTCTCCTCTCTTTTCCAGTGGATCTGGTAACTCTAACTACAGCCCTGGAGATCTTCAATGAGCATGATCTGCAGGCCAGTGATCATGTGATGGATGTGGTAGAGGTCATTCATTGCCTGACTGCCTTATATGAACGGCTAGAGGAGGAAAGAGGCATCCTGGTCAATGTGCCACTATGTGTAGACATGAGCCTCAACTGGCTCCTCAATGTTTTTGATAGGTAAGCAATTTCAGTCCTGCCAACTTCCAGGATAAATTCAGTGGGACATCTTCAGTGGATATGGTGGGAAGGGGTTGCTCCCGTGGTGGACTTGGACCCAGTTCAGTTTGGGGCATGTTTGGTCAGAGCTCTGCTGGAGTCAACTCAGTGAGGACAATGACTGACCAGATGTTAACACTTCACATATATTCATGTTCTTAGTCTCTTCTTTTAAACCTAGTGGTCGCAGTGGAAAGATGCGGGCATTGTCCTTTAAGACTGGCATTGCATGCCTGTGTGGCACAGAAGTGAAAGAAAAGCTTCAGTGTGAGTACAACTCCAAAGTCTGGAGTGGTCTTGGGTGGAGGGAGAGGTGTTTCAGGGAGGAGTAAAGGTCTAAGATAAACAGAAGGTAGGTCTTGTGACTCATCAGAAGGCTGCTTGACCCACTTTGTGATGGTTCTTGGTCCAGGATTGCCAAGAATGCATGGCACCCAAAGGCCAAATTAACCCTAAGGCTTGTTATTATTCCCAGGGTCATTCTGAGGGGTTTAGTTTCTTCTGATCTGATGTAAGTACTTAGTTAGAATCCATGTTGATATCATGGGGTTTCTAGGGCCCTGACTTTTAGTTCTAGTCTGAAGCTGAAGGTGTGTCACACATTCTCCTGGAGATTTCTCATGTCATTACATAGACAGGTTGCAATAATTAACATTCTCTAGGAGATGAACTGTACGTACTTCTGTAGTTTTTATGGTTTATGGTATCTTTGTTTTCCCCTCCATCCTCAAACTTGTAATTCAGTAATTCAGCATTTTGAACTTTTCTGCAGCACAGCGGCAGCTGTTAAATCCTAATGTGTATAGAGCTCTCTGCTAAATGGGGTGAATGCTAGGTCAAATTAAATATGGTCCTTGCTTCAAGGGGTTTACAGTCTGGAGAAGGAGATAGACGTACATAGAAAGCATGTACTTTCCAAAGGGAAGGGGACTTTTCCAAGTATGTTTATGGCTCTATTATTTATTTTATCCAATATTCCTTTGAGATGAGATGATGTACAGTGATTATTTGTCCTCAATTTTCAAGTAATGAAACTGCAGCATAGAGAGGTTTATGACTTTTCCAAGATTCTGAAGCTAGTGAGCAATGGATCCAGAACTCAAACCCAGGCCTTTTGCCTTCTGCTTTTGTGTATTTTCTAGACCTTTGGCGAGGTATGAAGCAGACAGACAATAACCTCTGGAAGAGGTTTGCTAAGATTGGCCTGAGATGGAGGAGGTTCTAGAAGTGCCAATACAGTCCATACTCAAATATAAGTACTCTAGTATATTGCCCAGCACGTAGAGGTCATTTTTAGATGATCAGATGTTTTGAATTAGCACCTCTTTTTGATTTATCCATGCCATCGCTTCCTTCCATTTGTGTGGACTATTGAGATATTACTGTAGTATTAAACTACATGAATAGGATAGGGTATGGAAGCCCAACTGTGATGCATGTGTAAATGCCCCTGAGCCTGAGCTCTCATACTGCTTCTTAAGGAATCTGTTTTCTCAATGGCATCATTGTGTCTGGCACTACTCTTACACACAGCTTGCTTTCTGTCCTTCTTTGTCTCTTTCTCTTTCTACCTCTTTTCCTAATGCTTTCCATGTGTGTCTGTCTTGCTTTTGCTCTCTGAACTCAGAGAATGCTCTTTTTAGAACTCCTAGGCTTCTAGAAGTTAAGGGATAAATCTCTATGTATTCTGGTTTCAAAAATCATTAGCTTCATCAATATATTCTCTCCCTGTCTTCCTTTTCTGATTTTTATCCTTATATCATTCTCTGGCCATTCCTGCATTGGGGTTGGCCATTCTTCATGGTGGGCCCAGCAGACCTCTTCAGCCAAGTGGCCAATTCAGGCAGCCAGTGTGACCAGCGCCACCTCGGTGTCCTGCTTCATGAGGCCATTCAGGTGCCCCGTCAGCTGGGTGAAGTGGCAGCATTTGGGGGCAGCAATGTGGAGCCCAGTGTCCGTAGTTGCTTCCGTTTTGTGAGTATGGAACTGTGAAGGGCAGGATGGAGGGAAGCAACATGGAAGAAAGGGTGGGAGGAAATGAAGGAGGACCAAAAACTAGCTTTTGACATGAAATATTCAGATGTAAGAGAGTTTGTTGGAATGGGACAACAGAACAGAGGATATTCTAGGTCTAGGGTTGCAGTACTGTTGGGGAGTGTGCCAGCTCCATTAAGACAGGGTAACAGGTGGAAACCTCTGAAGAATAGGCCAACCCAGACCCTGCTGGTTCCCCTGTTTCTTGGAGGGCTGCCACTCTTAAGGACAAGATATGTTGGGCCTCAATCAAATCCATTGGACTTGTTATTTCCCCAGAGCACTGGGAAGCCAGTCATTGAAGCTTCCCAGTTCCTGGAATGGGTCAACTTGGAGCCCCAGTCCATGGTGTGGCTGGCTGTCTTGCATCGGGTCACCATTGCTGAGCAAGTAAAGCATCAGACCAAGTGCTCTATCTGTAGACAGTGCCCCATCAAAGGGTTCAGGTAGGAGAAACAATACCTGCTGGGATGATAATCATCATAAATATGTCATGGGAAATATAAATCAGATATTACAAGATAACACATTATATAATTATTGTATAGTTATAGCTAAACTATTGTGTATGATTATATATTGTTGTAATTCTTTCTATTGCAAAATGTTTAACTTTTTAAAAATTGAATTTTTGACATATGAAGTACTAAAAACCTACAAAAATGTATAGCAAATACTGTAAGAATGCCTATGTACCAAATGATGTGCCAACAAACATTTCACAATCAACTCCCCCAGAAAAAATCTGAAATGCTCCCAAATCTATTTTAGAACATTGTGGATTTCTAGAGTAGGGATGCTTAACCAGAAAAGCATGTGTGAATATTTCAAAATCAGAAGAATTGAAATCTGAAACACTTCTAGTCTCACGCATTTCAGATAAAAAAATACTTAACCAGTACAATAGTTGTAAATAATCACAAGAGCATAGATCATAATAAATTTATTAAGAAGTGATGAGATTTGAATATTTATTACCTTTGTTTTCAGTATCATTTATTTAATTGTGAGCATTTATAATTTCATTATAAGGTAATGGCTTAGAAAACCCTTGAAATTGAACAGCCAGTTCTTGTGAGCTAATAAGGAAATGTCGCTAGCACACTACAGTATATACCCACAATCAAACTTAAGGAATAAAACATTATTATAATTCATCTTAAGTCTCCCTGATTACATTCTCCTCTCATTCTTCCACAAAGGTAACCACTGTCTTGAATTTGGCCTTCTTCATAAAATATTCAACTTTTTAACTCATACTACTGTCCCTAAAAATACCCCGATATTTTTCTTTTGTACCAGGGATTGAACTCAGGGGTGCTTAAGCAGTGAACCATATCCACAGCCCTTATTTATTTTTTGAGACAGGGTTTCACTAAGTTGCTTAGTGCCTTGCTAAGTTGCTGAGGTTGGCTTTGCAATCCTCCTGCCTCATCCTTCCAAGCCACTGGGAATATAGGTGTGTGCTACCACACCTGACAAATACCCTACTTTTTATAAGATGAGCAAATGAGAAATAGAAGTGGAATGTGACTTGCCCAAGTTCACACAGCTAGTTGATGGTAGATCTAGGACTAGATATTGATTCAGCTGATTCCTTTAAGTCTCAGCATTTCATTCTTCTATGCTAGTAAGTCTGGGTGTTTTAGCCAGGCTTTAGAAGTAGATCTAAAAGGCTATTCTATATTATGTAATAACAGAGTTATTATTATAAATAAACTTTGGAAATATCTTATAGCCAGCTTAACCAAGACTAGGATAGTAAGCTGCCTTTATATTAAATGTGTAACTACTCCAAGGTAAGTGGTGGTACCTGGGATCCTGGATGCTTTGGGGCTACCCTTGTTTAGAAAGCTATTTGCTCCAATGAGATCTTTACCACTATTCCCCTCCCCACCTACTTTTAAAAAAATAAGGTGGTGAGACAATGTTCTTTCTCATACTTCATGGGAATATGGGCTTATGATATCATGAAGAGTTATAATCTCTAAAATAAGGCTCCCCATCTGTTGAGGATTCAGCCACTGCTATGTCTATGAGGTTGAGCATGTTATGACTCCATGTCCCATCCCCTTCTAACACGTGTATATATTTAGATGTCAGGGGAATGGGTGAAGTCACTGTGGCACACTGGATTATCTTTCGTACAATGTCTCCTTTCCCCAAGGTACCGGAGTCTGAAACAATTTAATGTGGATATCTGCCAGACCTGCTTCTTGACTGGCAGGGCCAGCAAAGGCAACAAGCTGCACTACCCCATCATGGAATATTATACACCGGTATGGAGGCTCTGGGCTAGGTGGGAGGGGTAGGCAGCTCTCAGGTTCTAGGCTTTGATCCATTTTTCCCAGAGTTAACTCACTCTGTTCTGCTGTCCTGTGGGGAGCATTCCCCAAAATGTCCCAGTAATTCACCAGTTTAGGGGATTCAGACCTCTATTTTTCCATTGGAGCTTTTCCCTCACTAGAGCCACAGTTGGCCCATGACACTCTCAGCCATTTAAAGAACACCCATTATTTTACTGCAGAGAAAAGGCTCAGGAAAGAAATAGAGTGAAAAAGACAGTTACAGATGACTCATGTTACCCTGCCCACTTGAGTTTTTCCTGGCTAGCTTCTTTCATTGCTTCTACAGTAGACCACAACGTCTTTCCTTGCTACTTTGTCATTGATTCTATCTCTTCTAGTCAATACCAGAGTTTGTGCTCAAATTAATTACTCAGTTCCTCAGGAAGGAAAATGATATGTTCTTTACCTTATCCCATAAATTCCACTTGATCTTCACTGGCAATTGTGCCCTTCACAGTCATCTGAGCCCAGATTGGTCAGCATTTCTGAACTGCAGCCATACTGCTCCTGTGATTTGTTCAAGACCCATAGCTCCCTGTGTAACTTCCTGAGACAACTCTGCTCCCCCACATATTCCAGAGCCCCAAGTATATCCCAAATTCCCTTCTCACTGCTCCTTCACCCATCCCATCTCCCCATATTTCAACCTATTTTCCTATAATCCATATTTCCAAACTGTCATCTCTTCTTCAAATTCTGTTGCACAGAAACATGTGTAACCAGGTGGGAGCAGGGACCATTCCCTTTACTTTTTATTTATTATCATTTTGAAGAAAACATTATAAAAAGTCAAATACAGAAAACTAGCTGGAGAGGATAAGCTGATAATCCTCTTGATCATTCTCTACATTTTCAGAATTTATTTGAAAAGATATTTTTAAATTAACAAAATATGCTCATTGTAAAAATATTTGAATTATACAAATAGAAGCATTTAAAATATAAAATGAAAGTATTCCTGTATTTACCTGGCCTCTATTCCTCCAATATAAATTCTCAGAGACAACCAGTATTCATAGTTTGGCGTGTATCTTTCTAGAACTTTAGCTAGGAGCAGGGTGTGGTAGGTATTAACAGGAGTAGAATTCCAATCACTTTTGCTCTAGGGGATTAGCCACAATTTCCCAGAATATCTGGAAGCCACTAGAATGAGTCTCTCTGTCCTGTCTCCCATCAGACAACATCCAGCGAGAACATGAGAGATTTTGCCACAACCTTAAAGAACAAATTCCGCTCAAAACATTATTTCAGCAAACACCCTCAGCGAGGTTATCTGCCTGTGCAATCAGTGCTGGAGGCAGATTGCAGTGAGACGTGAGTACCAGTGGTGGAGCAGGGACTGTGGGCAGTCTCACTGACCTTGTGTTTGTGCTGCGAAGGAGCTAGTCCCAGGTGGGCTAGAAGAACATTCCAGGGAGAATTCCACCAGTGACAGGGCATTTCTGCTTGGGCCTGACCTAGACTCGGGCCTGAGATACATGCTAGAATCCAGATTCTATATCCTGTTCCCATCAGCTCTTGCCCATCTCCACAATGTAAGGGATAGAATGGGGGGAGGCATTGAGGAAACAGGTGATGTAGCTGTCCAATCTTTGATCCTCTGAATCTTTGTTGCTTTCTTTCAGGCCGGCTTCTTCCCCAATGTTGCCACACGCTGACACACACTCTCGCATTGAGCATTTTGCTAGCAGGTACAAGATTTTGGTGGGAGGGGTTGTAGGAAGCCTAATGGGGAAGGATTTTCAGTTGGGACAATGAGAATTGAATCAGGACCAGGGGATGTACACAGTGGGATCTGCAGCAACTAGCAAGTCCCAACACTTAGGGGTGGTTGGAGCAGCTCCCAATGCCAATGATCCTATTATGGGATTAGAATGCTTGAGATGAAAGCAGGCCCCCACATCCTGTTTTCTCTACTGTCTCTGTTCTTTCTTCCCAGACTTGCTGAAATGGAAAGTCAAAATTGCTCCTTCTTTAATGACAGCCTATCCCCAGATGACAGCATGTGAGTTTCCACAGCTGCTTGTTTTCCAGAAATAGCTCTCCTTGGGATCCTTCTGACACTACCCAGGAGGGTATAGCCTCAGGAGTGTGATGGTTAGGGTACTTGACTCCCTAAAAATGGAAGGCTGCTTCCTGGCACAGTGTTTAGAAAGAGAAGCAGTCTTCCTTCCATCCACTGAATGAGCCATCTGCCCAAATCCCTTCCTATTGTGAAATTCTGTTCTTCTATGCCCAACTTTGGGAAAGAAGAATATATGCCCTCATCTAAAGCTGCAGAAAGGAGCTATTCTCTTGTTCTCAAGATACCAAAGCCCCACCTAGTGTTATTCTAATCCTGGGAGACATCAGGGATTTGACTAAAGGATAGCCAAAGGCATTCCCTTGTGCTATAGTCCAGGGAAGAGGTCCTGCATCTCTGGGGAAGTTCCTGGTCTGCTCAGATAGCCTAGGAGCAGCCAGCTACATAGACCAATCTGGTCCTGACTGAGACTTAAATCCCTCTGGGAGGTGAGGAAGTCAAGTGGGGTACAGGGAAAACAGCACAGAAAAGGAAATGATTTGCTCATTATATCCTAGGGATCTTTAAGGAGAACCTAGAAGCCCCATAAGCCTGAAAATATTCATTCCCAGTACCCCTGACCATATCTGCTGCCACCTTTGAAAACTTCTATCCCTCCAAAGCTTGAATATTTAGCCTTTCCCTCTCTATGTGACTTAACAGTGAATATTCCAGCATGTATCACCAGGGACCTGAACGGAGTGCTTAGAACTCTTACCCTGAGTTGTTTCTCTATTTAAAGCTGGCCACCTGTTTTCCTTTCCTAATACCCAATGCAGAGATGAGGACCAGTACCTGCTGAGGCATTCCAGCCCCATCACAGACCGGGAGCTAGCCTTCGGACAGCAGGCTCCATGCAGCATGGCTACAGAAAGCAAGGGGGAGCTAGAGAAGATCCTAGCCCATTTAGAAGATGAGAACCGGTGTGTGTGTGGTCATGGCACAATTTTGTGTGGGTTTCAGAAGCAGACAGCTTGGGTTTAAGACCTGGCACTTCCACATTTTAGTTGTGTGATCATGAAGAAGTTACTTATATTCTGTGGTGCTCCATTTCCTTGTCTAGAAAGTGACCTCCTAGGGTCATTTATGAAGACCAAATGAGATCAGGCATATAATGGGTTAGCCCAGTGCCTGGTTTACTGTATCTGTTCAATAAACACTAGCACTTACAGTAATCATTTGAATTCTTTTAATTTAACCCCAAGTTTTCCATGTACCTACTAGATGCATATACAGAAAATACAGATAAGACTATGCCATGTCCCTGCTCTCAAAGAACTTCCCATGCCAGAAGTAGAAAGAATTATTTATCACCTAGTGAAAATATTTCAGGGGAAGATGACACTATGGATCACTCGAAGGCTTGAAGAGAGAAAGTAAAGATTATAGGGATGGCATTAATCTCCATAAAGTAGGGATGGTAGCAGGAATCTTAGGAAGGTCCAAGGCACTTTGAAAGAAGTAGAATCTGTAATGTCAAACATTAATGTGCACGTGAGTCACTTGGGGAGCCTGGTAAAATGTAAATTCTGATTCACAGGTTTGGGTAGGGCCTGAATTTCTGTATTTCTAACCACCTTCCAAAGGGATACCCATACCACTGGTCTACAGATCACACTTGGAGTGGCAAATATTTGGAACCCTGCCTCTCAGAGTGTAGAATGCAGACAAGAGCCAATCAGCAAAGTGTTTGTCACCAGTCCAGAAAATACAAATATATAAAGAGTAAGCTTTTAGAAACTTTTCTAGCAATTGGACATTGCCATGACATACAAACACATCGTTAGTGGACCCATATCATTAAGCTAGTTTGAGTGTTGCTGAACTTGTATGGCAGATTTCAAGTGGTGTGAACCATGGACTAGTCATGTGTGTTAGGATCACATATCATTCCACAATGGAGTAGGAAAAAACCCTTGTTTCTCATTAGGAAGTTTGAGAAATACTGCATTAGAGTATCAGAGGGCAGGCCTTGGGAAATACTAGGCAGATAATGATTCTGTTCTGTTGCAAAAAAAAAGAGTAATGTCCCCCAAAGTAAGCTGTATCTTTGGAATCTGTTTTCTTGATACCTAGCATGGCCATTCAAAGTGGGCCACACAGGAGGGCTAAGGAGAAAAGAGGCAATATGGGCGAGCTCTTGTTTATATCTTTTCCTGGAATATAAAAACAGAGAAGGTGAGTCAGTGGCCCTAATGCCTCTTTTATTTATAGACCACATTTCTGTCTGTTTTTAAGGTCAGAATTAATCTCCAAAGCAGTACATCAAAGCCCTGAGATATTTCTTATGTTAAATGTCAGCTCCCTCTGCTCTAAAGTCTCAGAATGTCAGAGTAAATGGCATACATGCTGGAGAGGAAGTAGTTCAAGCAAGAATATGACTGGGAAAGTGGGATGGGAGAGCATGGGGATTGCTTTCACTGGTATATGAAGGGACATCTTGGATCTGGACAGTACTCTCTTAGAGCCATAGATCTTGGCTTTATCTTTGGCAGGATTCTCCAAGGAGAGCTGAGGCGCTTGAAGTGGCAGCATGAGGAGGCGACTGAGGCACCCAACCTAGCTGAGGGCTCCACTGAGGCAGCACAGGACCACTGCAATGAAGAGCTTCTGGCTGAAGCCAGGATTCTCAGGCAGCACAAGAGCCGCCTAGAGACGCGCATGCAGATCCTTGAAGACCACAACAAGCAACTAGAGTCCCAGCTGCAACGCTTGAGGGAACTGCTCCTGCAGGTGAGACTACAGACAGAAAAAGAATGAAGGCAATACCTGAGCATAGGGGGAAGGTTTGGGGAGTTGGAGGTGCATCAAAGAGGAGGAAGAAAGAGCTTTTTGGCTGTGGCTATCAGGTAACTTCCTGAAGAGAATTCTTGGGCTGGCAATGGAGAAGATGAGGGAAGGAAGGGAATGGTATGGGCACATCCTTAGCCCATTCACTTTCACCCCTCTTTCATACCACCTTTGTGTGTAATTCTCAAGGGGCAGAGGGAAGACTTTTGAGGACTTACTTCTTTACAATCCATTGTAATCTGGTACTGAAACAATGAACTTCTGCCTGGTACAATGGCACACACTGATAGTCCCAGCAACCAGGGTAGGAGAATCACAAGTTCAAGGCCAGCCTTAGAAACTAAGCAAGACCCTGTCTCAATTTTTTTAAAAAAGGGCTGTGGATATTGCTCAATGGTATAGCACCCCTGTGGTCAATCCCCAGTAATGGAAAACCTTCAAAGTCATCCCAAAAGTTGATTTTATATGTATGGTATTTGCTAGAAAGAAGCAGGTTTGGATGGATATGTTTGGCAAAAGAGGAATTTTACAATAAAGGAGTCTCTTGCTAATTTTTGCTCTTTTCATTTCTGGGAGTATTGCTCTGGAGTCAGACAGCCCTAAGTTTGAGTATGACTCTGCCAGTTAGTGACTATGGGATATAAGAAAAGTTACTTAACCTCATTAAGCCCAAGTTCCATCATAGAGAGAATAATAACACCAACATCATAGAATTGTGTTCAACATAAAATGAGATAATGTATTTACAATATTTAGCATGATGCCAGGAATATGGTACACTCTTCACAAATGTTACTTATTATTGTCATTATATCTACCAGGGAATAGTACTCCCTGCCCTTTTCCCAGATCCTTCAAGAGACAGTCTCTAAATGAATTCCTGGAGGTTTATAACATATGCTGTTATGTCATAAACCAAAGATCAGGTGTGCAACTCTACATGTCCAGAAAAAATGGGTTCTAAATAGCTTGATTATAGACAAAATGACAGCAAGATAGTTTTAGATACATTGCCATCCTTATAAGAATTGGTAGCCTTTGATACATGTTGCTGAAGGAACAAGTTAATTGGTAATTGAATATATTAAGAAGTTTCCTAAAAGGGGAAGCCATTGTTTCTGTGCACTGGCAAAAGCTTCTAAAATTCAAAGGGACAAGGGGTGATCATGCATTTCTAAGGTCTTTTATAAGCTCAGGAGTCTGTCAAAGTAAGGTTAGGAAAGCAAAACTCAAATTATGCTTTACTTCTTACTAGCCACCCACTGAATCAGAAGGCAATGGCTCTGCAGATTTGTCTCTAGCTTCATCTCCACAGCAGTCAGAAAGCAGTCACCCCCCGGAGAAGGGACAGACAACTCCAGATACTGAGGCTGCAGGTGAGTTCCCTAACCCCTCTCAGCCCCTTCCTCCATGGCTTTGTTCTGCCCCAGATTTCCTGCCTGAGGTTCTGCTAAGGATAAAACTGGTTTTTCCTCATGCCTTCAATCTTAGAGTGAGGGATAATTCACTCATATGTTTCTTCTATTGAGTGCATCCTGCATAATAGTCATAGTAACAGGAAGATGTAAATGTTCTGGGTCTGCCCACTACCTAGCTGCATCCTACTTTGGCTTCTTGACCTCATATAAGAGAGTTTAACATTATCTTCACAAATCTCTCTTTTCCAACTCAGATGATGTGGGGTCAAAGAGCCAAGATGTCAGCCTGTGCTTGGAGGACATCATGGAGAAGCTCCGCCATGCCTTCCCCAGTGTGCGAAGCTCTGATGTGACTGCCAGCACCCTGCTGGCCTCTTGATGGAGCCAGATCCCCATTCTATAGTCCATAATTCTTCCTGATTCTGGTCAATATCTTCCCTCAGCCTTCATCCAACCTTTCCAGTCCCCACTGGCCCCACATTCCTCAAGCAGAGTTATTTGGGCTCTGGGCAGCAGCAAGGCTGGTGGTATGTGAGGTATGTGTGGTAGGGGAGGGGCCAGGTAAAGAGGAGGCCTGATTCCTCTAACTCTAGAAATATGCCCTTTAATTCTGAAGTGCAAGACCAGTCCCTTATGCTACCTTTTGTTGCAGCACAGGCAAATGGCACTTGGCCATTCAGATGGGAAAGAGAAGCTGCTTTGCAGAGCCAAGTAGTGCCCATTGGCCCCTTTGTCTTCTCCATGGAATTATAGAGAGGGAGAAGCCTAATGATCCCAGGGTACCAGCATTAGGAATCCACAGGGATTAACCCTACTCTCTGGCCCAATTCAGGGAGGCAAAAGGGTATTACTGAACCTCCTCCCACCTCCAAAGTGTTCCTAAAGAACTCTGGGCAATATGTGTCCTATTTTTTTTCAGCTTCAGGACATAGTTCTAGCCCTTCAGATTCTACCTATATGTTGTTTCTTCCTTGAATAACTACAGTTCCTTATGCCACTGTCCCTAGCAGAATTTCCTCAAGGAGGAAACAGTTCATTCTGGTTCTTACTTCTACTTTACATTTGCGAATATTAAAGAAATTCTTTCAGGTTTAGATTCTTGCCTCCCCCCCCTCAATCCTCCTCTTTCCTGAAGGTTTCAGCATTCTAAGAGAGCCACTGAGATGCTCTGGAGACCCCACTGAAGCCACCCTTTGCTCTTTTGACTCTTTCCTTAGAGATCTGGAGGAGGAGTGGCAGCTTGCTCTCCTTGGGTGAGGAAGGGGAAGCCATCCTCTAGCCTGGTAGAGTATGACTGCCTTACACGCTTCCAGGCTATGACCCTTCTGTCTCTTAGGCTGAATCAGGTGAGGTGGCTGGTTACCCCTAGCCAATCATAAGGCAATTGTAACTAGCCATCCTTAATAGTGGTCCCTTCCTAAGAGCCACTGGCCACGAATCAGGAAGCTGGTCACTTTACCCCTAGACAACAGTGGAGCCTTCCTGTGCATAAAACTGTTTTTTCTAACTCTGAAGGTGAACCCAATTCTCAAACTGAACTAACTCTTCCTAGACAACATATACCGTGGCCTCTTTATTCTAAACTGTTCAGGGTATATAGTAGGGGTGGGAAGAGTGGGCTTGGGAACTTTGAACAGAGTCAGAACCCACTTAGGCTGCTTTCTACCAAGAGGAAATTTTCCCCAGTCCTGCAGTCAACTTAATTTGCCTGAGTTTATATACACACATATCTACTCTACATATCTACTGTACATCAGTGCTCTCCTGGCCTCACTCACACATTAAACTCTAATACCTCTTGAAGTATTAATGTTCTGCCTTGCTCTTTGTTAGCCTCAGCCTCTGGTTGGAAAGATAGAAGCACATCCTGGCTGCTTTCCTAGGATGTCTCTGTCCATTGATGTTTGGGGTGAGCTGCCCTCCAGACCAAAGCAACAGAAGTCTGTGGCCACAGAGGGATCTAACAGGAAGCATCAATATGTTCTCTTCTCTCATTCTAAATCTTATTCCTTGGAGACCTGAGCCTTGGAGGAATTTTCCTGGACCCCCTAAACAGTGGTTCAGGTGCCAAAACAGAGTGGATCTAAGCTCTACCCACTCCTGAAGATAAGAAGGAACAGGAAGGTCTTTATTATCTTTTACATGGCTAAAACACAGAATACATCCTCTGGCCACTTTCAATTCCTAAGGTCCAGTTCAGGGTCTTAAAGAAAGAAATGATTATCATCAAGATCAGGAGGGAGTGAGATGTTTGGACTCTTGTGCTGTAATCAAGCAGTGGTCAGTGGATAGAATTGCTGGGAACCTAGATTGACCTGCTCCAGGGGATGCAGGGAAATGGCTTGGGTCCAGAATCCAAAGATTGCCTCCTTCCCCACTAAGCCACAGGTTCAGGGTGTTAGACGTTTTATCATGACATCTGCATCAGTGTTCATGAGGCCTCTGGGCAGGAGAACTGGGTATCTGGCTTTATGATAAGCAGATTGTAGGCAAGTATCAAACACAGAGCCTGGACATCATTCAGAGTGGGGTAACTTTGTAGGGGGCTTGATTGTGGGTAGGAATTGGATAGAAGAAATTTGTTGTGGTTAGAGGGCTCAGGAACTTTGAGGCATATACCTGTCTTAGGAGGGCAGATAATATGGAAAAATCTATTATCAGTAAAGTCTTTTCTCTAACCCCCATTCCACCTGAGAGCTCTTGGGCTGCCTGTGGTAATTGCAGTGGGCCAGGTATGGTAAAAAAAAAAAATATGTAGATCTTGTTATGTAGGATTTGTGCTGTAGGTGGACCGGAGCAGCGGGTCAGGAGTTGAATCTTCAGTAAGGGGGTCATGGACACTTTGCGGTCTTATGTTTACCTGTAATACCTGAGGTGAGTATACTGCTCAAGGGTCCAGTGACAGTCACTGCAGCATATGTGGACAGTTTGCCTCTAGTGAGGTAAATGGATCCTTAGACACTGTGAATCCACATTGGGGTTGGATTTACCAAAATGTGTTGTATATTGTTAGGTATTTGTCATGTATCATGTCTCTTAAAGGTATTATGTGTGGTGCTGTGTAGTTTATGGCCCTGTAACTGGAATGGAGGCGAAGGGAGTTGCTAGGTTGGTAATCTGAGGAAAACCTTCTGATTTGTAGGATTAGCATTAGTGATAAGGAATGTGTTTGCTGGAGTTACCCAATAGTACCAGGGAACAGTTAGGATTGACAGGCAATTTGTCCTCAAAAGAATTTGATTGAAGTCAAAATGCCATTGTGAAGGTACCTCTGCTTCCAGCTAGAGCAGAGTGGATTATCATTGGGGAAGGCTGAATGTCTGGAGAATATGAAGCCATGATAAAGTTCCTTATAAAATAACCTGCCCAGGAGGATAGATATGTGCCCTTCCCTCAATATTGGAAAGGCTGGAATCAAGGCTCTCAAGTGCCCATTTCCTTCAATGCCCAAAGTTGGAAAATATTTCCCTATAGAGAACTATTTGAGTTTTTGGTGTTCCAAGAACTGGGCTGGCAGGCCATATTAATGAGAAACCCTGAGACCAGGCAGAGGCCAATCCTGGGAGGTGTTTATCCACCAAATTCATTTTAAGGGATAACTGTGCTGCCTGGTGGATGCTTTGAAAAGAGTCTGGACTCTAGATCCAACATTGAGCCAGAGCATTCTTTAAACTCACATTCTCAATAGCAGACTAATGGCCTGTGAAACCATTTCTGGCTAGGAATTCCATCAAATTTTCTTTGACATAGTTGACACATAACCAAGAAAATAGCTGCCTTAACACAAACAGTCTTGGGAGAGAAACTGGAAGCCCTATCCTAGGGCTATGAGACTTAGCTCCTCAGCTGGGCAGCTCTATCTCTGGGCATTCCTGCCAAAACCTGGCTCTTGGAACAAAGAAGTACTTCATTGACTTCTCACTATTTTAACACCAGTGGCCATGGGAGAGGATAAGGCTCAAGGCCAGGGCTCTGCTCCCAGTGTCTATCTCCTCCTACAGTTGCCATATTTGGAGGGTGACCTGCTGAATGTATTTGCTGTTCCCAAGGCAGTATTAAGTCCAGCCTGAAGCCTGCTATGCTGCTTGCTTGATGCAAGAACTGGTCATAAGAATTTTGGACAAGATTTGGGGGAGGTGGCAAGGGAGACATGCAAGTGTAGAAAAGTTTGGGATTGAAGGGGTGGGAAGCAAATTAATTAACTTTGCCACTTACTGTGGTGCTTTTCCCTTTCCCTTGAATTCTACTTTAAAAAGAATAAATTTGTATTTGTTTACCTTGTTTCCTCTAGTTATTATCTCTGATTCTGATAGTCCACATCTTTCTCTTATTTGGAGGTGGGAAGACAGGATGGAGCACTGCAAAACATAAGGCCACCATGTGGGACCAACAACTGTGGGATGAAAGACACCCCTACTGATGCCATCTTACACTGTTACCTGGAGTGGCGGCCCCTTAAGCTCTATCCCCTTCCAAATTAGCGAGTTATCATGTTACAAGATGAACTCTATATGGCAATGGTTCCAAAAATTCATCCTCATCAATCCAAAGACTTTTTTTATCAGCTGAAGCAATATAAAAATCAGGATACTGTAGTGAGTTTCCATAAAGTTACATTTATTTAGTAAAGGTCTCTCCTTTATTCGAGAATATGGCTATATTTTTGTTGTTAAAATGTCCTTATGAATTGATGGTTATGTTTTTAATGTCATTTTATGGCATTAGTACCTCTTCTACACCATCAATTTCTCTTTCCTTACCAAACCACAGCAGTGCTTTCCAATAAAAATGCAAGTTGTAAACCAGGCATGGTGGTACACACACCACCATCTAGTTGTGAAATTCCAGCAACTAGGGAGGCTGAGGGAGGAAGACCACAAGTTCAAAGTCAACCTGGGAAACTTAAATAGACCATGTCTCAAAATAAAAAATGGAAATGGATGGGGATGTAGTTCAGTGGCAGAGACACAGTGGGTTCAATCTAGTACTGGAAAAAAAGAAAAACAAAATATATATATTTTTGAAATTTCCTAGCATATTAAGCCATGTTCAAAAACACATCAAGAAGATTGTGTATAGCATGATCAAGTGGTTTCATCCCAGGGATGCAAAGTTGGTTCAACATAGGTAGATTAATAAATGCAATTCACCACATAAATAGAATGAAGAACAAGAATCATATGATTATCTCAATATATGCAGAAAAAGCATTTGATAAAATCCAGCACCCATTAAAAATGCTAGAGAAAATAGGGATAGAAGGAACTTAGCTCTCTATATGACAAACCCAAAGCCAACGTCAAACTGAGTGGACTAAAAATGAAAGCATTTCCTCTCAAATTAGGAACAAGACAAGAATGTCTACTCTCACCACTTTTATTCACTATAGTTCTTGAAACTCTAGCCAGAGCAATCAGGCAAGAGAAGTAGATTACATGAATACAAATAGGAAAGAAGAACTATATTATCTCTCTTCTAAGAAGAGTTGATAAATAAATTCAGAAAAGTAGCAAGATACAAGATCAACATTCATAAATAGTTTCCCAATAATCTAACAATGACTCTGCTGAAGGAAAACTATCCCATTCTCAACAACCTAAAAAAAAAATCTATTTGGGAATTAATCTAACCAAAGAAGTGGAAGATCTCCACAATGACAATTATAGAATACTGAAGAAAGAAACTGAAGAAGACTTTAGAAGATGGAAAGAGCTTCCATGTTCTTGGATAAGCAGAATTAACATTGTCAAAATGGCCATACTACCAAAAGCAATATACAGCAATAACCACCGGAATACCAATGATGTTCTTCACAGAACCAGA